AACTAGTGGAGGTGATGGAATTCCAGTTGAGCTATTTCAAATCCTGAAAGATGATGCTGTGAAAGTGCTGCACTCAATATGCCAGCAAATTTGGAAAACTCAGCAGTGGCCACAGGACTGGAAAAGGTCAGTTTTCATTCCAATCCCTAAGAAAGGCAATCCCAAAGAAAGCTCAAACTACTGCACAATTGCACTCATCTCACACGCTAGTAAAGTAATGCTCAAAATTCTCCACGCCAGGCTTCAGGAATACATGAACCGTGAGCTTCCAGAAGTTCAAGCTGGTTTCAGAAAAGGCAGAGGAACCACAGATCAAATTGCCAACATCCGCTGGATCATCGAAAAAGCAAGGGAGTTCCAGAAAAACATCTATTTCTGCTTTACTGACTTCACCAAAGCCTTCAACTGTGTGGATCACAATAAACTGTGGAAAATTCTGAAAGAGATGGGAATACCAGACCACCTGACCTGCCTCTTGAGAGACCTGTATGCAGGTCAGGAAGCAACAGTTAGAACTGGACATGGAACAACAGACTGGTTCCAAATAGGAAAAGGAGTATGTCAAGGCTGTATATTGTCACCCTGCTTATTTAACTTATATGCAGAGTACATGATAAGAAATGCTGAGCTGGAAGCCCAAGCTGGAATCAAGATTGCCAGGAGAAATATCAATAACCTCAGATATACAGATGACACCACCCTTATGGCAGAAGTGAAGAGGAACTAAAAAGCCTCTTGATGAACGTGAAAGAGGAGAGTAAAAAAGTTGGCTTAAAGCTTAACATTCAGAAAACTAAGATCATGGCATCTGGTCCCATCACTTCATGGGAAATAGATGGGGAGACAGTGGAAACAGTGTCAGACTTTATTTTGGGGGGCTCCAAAATCACTGCAGATGGTGACTGTGACCAAGAAATTAAAAGATGCTTATTCCTTGGAAGGAAATTTATGACTAACCTAGATAGCATATTAAAAAGTAGAGACTTTACTTTGCCAACAAAGGTCCATCTGGTCAAGGCTGTGGTTTTCCAGTGGTCATGTATGGATGTGAGAGTTTGACTGTGAAGAAAGCTGAGCACCGAAGAATTGATGCTTTTGAACTATGGTGTTGGAGAAGACTCTTGAGAGTCCCTTGGCCTGCAAGGAGATCCAACCAGTCCATCCTAAAGATCAGTCCTGGGTGTTCATTGGAAGGACTGATGCTGAAGCTGAAACTCCAGTACTTTGGCCACCTCATGCGAAGAGCTGACTTATTGGAAAACTTAAGAAAAGCATTTCCATAAGAAAAATGCATTGGTTAGCTCAAGGTTTGAGAATAGTTAAGTTCAAGTGGAACCAGATGTAGTCATGGTGACACAGAATTTTAAAAGAAAACTTCTTTTAAATTTGTATAGAGAAGGAAAAATATCTGACACTTGTAGTTTGTTTCCTCCTGCCATTTAAGAGAGATAAAAAATGTCTGCCACTTGCAGCCTATTTCCTCCATTTGGAGACCCCTAGTCTTCCTGCCTGTCACCCTCTCACTCCCATCTTTGGTTTCAGCAAAGTTGAGCTCAGCTTACACTGAAGTCTCTCTGCTACTGCAGTAGCCTGAATAAAATGTTTGGCCACCTTAAAAAATAAAAGTATACTTATATGTATAGCTGAATCACTTTGCTGTACACCAGAAATTAAGACAACTATAAATCAACTATACTTCAACAATTTAGAAAAGGAATATATGTAAATTTTAAAGTAGATTATAATTACTGCAAGTGAAAGTTGCTCAGTCGTCTCTGACTCTTTGCAACACCTTGGACTACATAGTCCATAAATTCTCCAGGTCAGAATACTGGAATGGGTACCCTTTCCCTTCTCCAGGGGATCTGCCCAACCCAGGGATCAAACCCAGGTCTCCCGCATTGCAGACAGATTCTTTACCAGCTGAGTCACAAAAGAAGCCCTAGGTCAAGGGAAACAACTGTCTATTATGCAATTTATAGGGCCCAAATGCAGTCTCATTGATAAGATGGTTCGTTACGTTGACCTCACAAACGAAGAATAAAATCACAGTGATCTGTAAGACTGACCAAATTGCCCAAATGGCATCCTGTTATCTCTCTGGTGCCTATCTTCTCAGAGCTGCAAGACCACCAGATTCCAGAGCTCCGGCTGCATGACCATCCCTTCAGAGCTCATTGGCGTGGTATAAGAAGGACTCCGTCAGAAAGGGAGGACACAGAAAGGGAGGTTCTCCTTAAGGGCCAGTCACCCTCTCTTTCCCCGCTAATAAATTTCCCTTTTGTTGCCTGACTGCCTGGCTTGCTCTCTTTTTCTCTGCAATCACCTTACAGCAACAAAATCCAGAATTCATTTAAAAAATTAAGTTAATTCAACTACAAACAAAAGGCATGGAAACCAGCAAATGACAGTAGGAGGACAGGGTAAGGGGATATTCATCACTCAAAATACAGGAACAAGTGATTATTTCTTTAGTACATAAATAATTTCTATAGTAAAGAAGAAAATTTGAATAGTCCAAAAGGCAAGCCAGGAAAAGGTATAAGATGACAATTCACCCAAAGAGGAAATATGGTGAGTCTAAACAAGAAATTAAAAAAGTAAAATCAAAATAAGATACCAATGGCACAAATCAAACACTTTAATGACATTCTGGGGTGGGCTGTGACCAAAAAAAGAACTGCATACACTGCTTATGAGGGTGTAAATTGATACAACTTCTATGGGCGAGTGAGTGAAGCCACTCAGTGGTATCCGACTCTCTGCGGCCCCATGGACCGTAGCCTGCCAGGCTCCTCCATCCACAGGATTTTCCAGGCAAGGATACTGGAGTGGGTTGCCATTTCCTTCTCCAGGGGATCTTCCCCACCCAGGGATCAAACCCGCGTCTCCTGTGTCTCCTGCATTGCAAGCAGATTCTTTACCCATTGGGAAAGTTCAACTTCTATGGATTTTATCAATAACTGAGAAATTTAAAATGGGATATCCTTTGGTCCAGTAAATCCCCTTCTACAAAATCAACTCACAAATGCATTTCTTATGCTTTAAGAAAAAGACATTTGTTCACTTACCACTGTTCATATCAACAAAACATTCTAAACAATCTACAGATCTATCAATAGTGTTATAGCTAATTTATGTTCCAGCCATACAATGGAAAAACTATAAAACAATTCCAAAGAATAAGATAAATCTACATACAGTCACATGTTAAGATCCTTTGAGGTATTTGGTGAAAAATGAAACCTGCATACACATTTTATTTTTCTTTTTTTTCTTTTTCACTCAGTCCTGTCTGATTCTTTGCCACCCTATGGACTATACAGTCCATAGAATTCTCCAGGCCAGAATACTGAAGTAGATAGCCTTTCCCTTCTCCAGGGGATCTTCCCAACCCAGGGATAGAACCCAGGTCTTGCATACACAGATAATGCAATAGTATTTATGAAAATGGACTTCCCTAGTGGCTCAGATGGTAAAAGCAACTGCCTACAATGCGGGAGACCTGGGTTCAATCCCTGGGATGGGAAGATTCCCTGCAGAAGGAAATGGCAACCCACTCCAGTATCCTTGCCTGGAGAATTCCATGGATGGAGGAGCCTGGTAGGCTACAGTCCATGGGGTCACAAAGAGTTGGACACAACTGAGTTCACTTTCACTTACATTTATGAAAAAGATATATTTACATATATCTAGATATGCTTGCAAATGCAAAGAAAACGGTTTGTAAGGATAAACTCCCACTTTTTAACACTTCCATTAAGAAGAGGAACATGGTAGAGGGAAGTTTTAGGACTGAGTTTGGGTTCTTCAAGTTCCACTTTTTATTTTATGCATCTACTTCTAACTTTTTACCAGGAAAACATTATGTCTGTAAAGAATAAAAATAACTAAATGAGCTGTACCAGGTTCATCAAAGCCTTACCTGAGAAACATGTTTCTGGATGATCCCCTCAAAGGTAAAATCTGCCACTTAGATCACAGGGAGAATCTGTGCCTTTAGTGTGCGGGTATGTGTGTGAGTGAGTGTGTGTGTGAGTGTGTGTGTCCCTGAACAAGTCAAATTCTCCCAGTCAATTCTGAATCGTGTAAACATTCATTTCATTCACCTTTAAGAAGTGCGTCTTGTATTAACTAAATCCTGAGAGGATAGGCATCAGGGACAAATTTGGGGCTAGTTAGAGCATGGCGTTTGGTCCCATCACTACATGGCAAATGGAGAAACAAGGGAAACAGTGACAGACTTTATTTTGGGGGGCTCCAGAATCACTGCAGATGATGACTGCAGCCATGAAATTAAAAGACACTTCCTCCTTGGAAGAAAAACTATGACCAACATAGACAGTATATTAAAAAGCAGAGACATTACTTTGCCAACAAAGGTCCGTCTAGTCAAAGCTATGGTTTTTCCAGTAGTCATGTATGGATGTGAGAGTTGGACGATAAAGAAAGCTGAGAGCCGAAGAATTGAGGCTTTTGAACTGTGGTGTTGGAGAAGACTCTTGAGAGTCCCTTGGCCTGCAAGGAGATCCAACCAGTCCATCCTAAAGGAAATCAGTCCTGAATATCCATTGGAAGGACTGATGCTGAAGCTGAACTCCAATATTTTGGCCACCTGATGTGAGGAGCTGACTCATTTGATTCTGGGAAAGACTGAAGGCAGAAGGAGAAGGGGATGACAGAGGATGAGATGGTTGGATGGCATAACTGATTCAATGGACATGAGTTTGAGTAAGCTCTGGGAGTTGGTGATGGACAGGGAGGCCTTGCGTGCCGCAGTCCATGGGGTCGCAGAAAATCGGACGGGACTGAGCGACTGAACTGACCTCAACTGAACCACGTGACCGCCAACGAAGCTCCAGCACTGGGGGCGCGAGCAGCCAGGGGTCAAACAGACGTGCCTAGAACTTCAGGAAACCGTTGGTGGGTGGAAAGGGGGCTCCGTCCGGCAGCTCCTTTCTGATCTGCCGTGCTGAGAACGTGGGCTTTCCTTCCTGGAAATGAGCCTTAATCCCTCGAAGGTTGCGCCGGAGCCAGAGCCGGAGCGGGAGGCGGGACAAGAACCTGGGTCCGAGGCCCACGGGCCGGGGCCGGAGAGAGAGAGCGGGCCACCAGCAGGGCCGGGCCCGGAGCCGGAGCCGCCCTCGGCGGCGGGTCAGGACTGGGAGCCCGAGCACGACCGGGCGGAGGGGCCGAGCGCACAGCCCCCTCCGGGGCCCGAGGCTCCGCCGCCCCTGCCGGCCTCGAAGTCTGAGAACCTTCGGGCTCCGCGGCCCCGTTGCCACACCAACTGCCTGGAGGCACCGCTGTCGCGGGCCTTCAGGCGGCTGGGCAGGAAGGTGGGCGCACACCCCTGGATCTTCCTGCTGCTGCCGGTGGCGCTAACGGCCGTCCTGGGCACCGGCCTGATGTACCTGCCCCGGGATGGAGAAGAAGACCTGGAGGAGGAGTACACCCCGATCGGGAGCCCCGCCAAGGCAGAGCGACGCTTCGTGCAGGGACATTTCACCGCCAATGACTCTCTCGTCTTCTCCATCTCCAGGAAGAGCGCCGAGGTCCCTTATGCCTCCGTCCTCGTGGTCTCCAACACCGAGACCCTGCTGGAGCCGGACATCCTAGAGGAAATCAGCAAGGTGGACGACACGGTGCAGGCTCTGACTGTGACCCAGGACAACGGAACCCAGATCCCCTACAGCGAGGTGTGCGCTAAGAACCAGGGCTCCTGTGTCCCCTCCAACCCACTCTTGTTCGCCTGGAAAAGGAACAAGGGCCTCAACTTGAGAACCATCACCTTTCCCATCTACAGCCTAGCCGGTCAGATCGTCTCCCTGGCCAACACCCTGGGAGGAACTGTCTTGGGCGAGAGGATGGGGCCGAGCCAGGTTCTCCTCCGGGCCAGAGCCATGCGGCTGCAGTACCACCTGGAGGCAGGCGGAGCAGAGGAGCACGAGCGGAGCAAGGCCTGGATGATCCACTTCCTGACGCAGGCGAGCAGCCTGGAGGAGAGCCTGGCCTTGAAGAAGATCCAGGTACCTAGTGGCGGAGTTTATGGGAGGCCAGGAGAAGGTGGGAGGGATAAGAGGACGTGTTCCAAGGACCAGAGCAGCAGCACCCCCAGATTATCAGAGTCCTTGCCTGGAAGCCAGAAGTGCTCTGCTTTATTTGGTCCTTAATCCAACTTTCTTACAGTAGCACACTGAAGAAAGCCACAGGAGATCCTAAGAAAGAGTGGGTGTGTGTATAACTGATTCACTTTGCTGTGCACTTGAAGCTAACACAACATTGTGAAGCAACTATACTACAATAAAGTTTTTAATAAAGTAAAAAGAGGACTTTAAAAAAAAAAAAGGAGAATTCCGCAAATCTTAAATCCTTGGTAACATTGGTTAAAAACACAAATGGTCCATTCTCAGGGTAGGTCTGTTCAGTACAGACGTTGATCTTCAGGTTTAGTTTGGTTTATCTGGTCAAATTACTCTGTAATTCTTACTTTCAGTTTAAGCCTTTGCTGTTTCTGGGAGCCCCCTAAACTTTGGAGTTCATTGGAATAAAAAAGCAAAACTTTAAACAAAATTTCCATGATGTTTTTGAGGAAGATTAGCATTTTAAAAGTAAATTATAGTGTAGTGCCATGCACATATTAGCTGCTCAGTAATTTGGGGGCTGGAAAACCTAATACTCTGAATGAAACTGGTGAAAATGAGAAGATATCTTCTGGGAAAAGCCTTTTAATACCCAGGCCTGTCTGAAATGATGTTTGTACAATTAAAATACTAAAAGATAATGACTGAATAGAAGTTTAGAAAAAGTTATAAGTCTATAGTTACTAATGCTTTCACAGTTTTATATAAGATTCAGACTTTGTGTATTCAGGAGTCTTAAACTTTAGATTTTTTGAAAGAAACTTTGAAAAGCATGCCAGAGATTTGTGCGAAGAAGCAAATCTTTATTAACTTCTTTATTCTAAAATCATAATCCATATATTTTTATTTTTCACTGAATTTTAATGTTTAAATTATTAAGTTGTAGTGTTTCAATATGATCTGTAACTCACGCACAATATCAGAATTAAAAGTCATTTACCTGACTATGTTTTTGTGGCAGGTTGTCTACTTTTCATCACTTTCTAGACAACTGGAATTTGAGGCAACTTCTATGACAGTGGTCCCCTTGTTTCACTTGGCCTACCTTCTAATCATATTATTTGCAATTGTATCATGCTACAGGTAAAACAATTTTACTTGTTTTTTAAACTCTAAAAATATTTTATTGTAGTAATGTAAATAATGTGTATATAACATTTATAACATAAAATGTCATTTCAAAAACCATTTTTAAGTGTCCAGATCAGTGGCATTAATTACATTATCAGTGTTGTGCAACCATCACAATTATCCCTTTATGAATATTTTCCATCACCCCAACAAACACTGTAACCATTAAGTAATAACTCCCCACTGTCTCCCCCAAGTCTTGGCTAATTTTTAGTTTCTGTTTCCATGAATTTGCCTATTCTAGAGATTTCATATAAGTGGAATCATATGTGACTGATTGTGACTGACTTTTTGTGACTGACTTATTTCACTTATCATAATGTTTTCAACGTTTATCCATGTTGTAGCATGAGTTCCTTTACATGGCTGAATAATATTCCATTTTATGTATATACCACATTTGTTTATCTACCTATCTTTTGATGGGCACTTGAAATGTTTTTACCTTTGGACTATACTGAATAATGCTACAGTGAACCATGGTGTCCAAATCTCTGTTTAAGCTCCTGTTTTCAGTTCTTTTCAGTGTATACCTAGGAGTGGAATTAGTGGGTTGTATGATAATTCACTGGTTAGCTTTTTGAAGAACCACCAAACTATTTTTCACAGAGGCTGTATCATTTCATATCCCATCAGCCATGTGTAAGTTTTCCAATTTCTCTACATTCTAACCATGATTATCTTTTTAATGTTGTTATTGGTTATTTGTATATCTTCTTTGGAGCTCCCCAGGTGGCGCAGTGGTAAAGAATCTGCCTGCCGGTGCTGGAAATGCAAGAGACTTGGTTTCGATCCCTGTGTTGGGAAGATGCCCTGGAGAAGGAAACGGTAACCCACTCTGGTATTCTTGCCTGGAAAATTTCATGAACAGAAGAGCCTGGTGGCTAGGGGTCACAAGGAGTCAGACAACTGAGCTACTGAGCACACACGCATATCCTCTATGGAGAAATGTCTATTCAAGTCCTTTGCCCTTTTTTTGGCTGCGCCCCAAGGCTTGAAGAATCTTATTTCTCTGACCAGAGATTGAACTTGGGCCCAGGCTCTTGGCAGTGAAAATTTGGAGTTCTGACCACTGGACTACCAGGGAATTCCCACCTTTGTTCATTTTTAGTGAAGCTGTTTGTCCTTTTGTTGTTGAATTCTGTTGTTGTTGAGTATATATATATGTTTTGGATATTGAATCCTTATCAAGTTATGTAATTTGCAAATATTTTCTCTCACTCTGTAGATTATCTCTTTACTTTCTTGATAATGTCCTTTAATGTACAAAGGTTTTAATTTAGATGAAATTCAACTTATTTATTTTTATTGTTTCTACTTGTGCTTTTGGTGTTACATCTAAACTTCCATGGACAAGTAAGGTCGCGTGCAACTGCTCTGTTCAAGAGTTTTATGGCTTTAGCTGCAATATTTAGGTGGTTACAGTTCTTGATCATAGTTGTATACGATGTGAAGTAGGGGTCCAACTTCATTCTTGTTCCCGTGGAAATCCAGTCATCCAAGTGCCATTTGTTGAAAAGACTGCTCTTTCCCAGTTGATTGGATTTGGCATCCTTGTCAAAAATCAATGGGCTGTAGATATATGGATTTATTTCTAGATGCTCAGTTCTACTCCATTGGTCTATATGTCTGTCCATATACTAGTACCACTCTGATTTAAATACTGTAGCTATAAGTTTTGAAATCTGGAAATCTCAGTTGTCCATTTATTTTTTCTTTTTAAGGTTATTCTGGAGTATCCAGGGCTCCTTATAATTCCGTATCAATTTGAGTATTGACCTATACATTTCTGAATAAAAGCAGTTGAAATTTTGATAGATTGTGCTTAATGTGTAGATCGCCTTAGGCGAGACTGTCATTTTGACAATATTGTCTCCCCATCCCCCGCCATGGATGATGAAAGTCTTTCCATTAATTTAGGTCTTTTTTAGTTTCTTTCACCAATGTTTTGTAGTTTTCCATGTACCAGTCTTTCACTTCTTTGGCTAAATGTATTCCTAACTATTTCATTATTTTAAACGCTAAATGAAATCACTTTCTTAATTTCTTTTTGGGATTGTTCATTGCACATGGATAGAAACGAATCCTGTGTGTTGATCTTGTATCTTGCAGCTTTACTGAATTTATTTACTAACTTTAGTAACTTCCTTTGGATTCACTGGAGTTTTCATATGTAGGATCATATAATCTGTGAAAACAGAGTTAAAATTCTTCCTTTCCAGTTTGAATTCCTTTAATTTCAAAGTCCTGTCTAATTGCTCTGATTAGCACTTCTAGTACATCTTTGAATATCACTGATGAAAGTGGGCATCCTTATCTTGTTCCTGATCTTAGAGGGAAAGCTTTCTTTTTTTCACCATTGAGTTTAACATTAGCTGTGCAGTTTTCATAATTGCCTTTATAATTTTGAAGAACTTTCCTTCCATTCCTTGTTTTTGAGAGTTTTTATCATGAAAAGACATTGGGTTTTGTCAAGTGCCTTTTCTGTACCTTTTGAGAGATTCATATGGTTTTTTATCCTTTGTTCTGCTAGTGTGCTGTATTACATTGATTGATGCTGTCATGTTGAACCACTCTTCCATTCCTGGGGTAAATCCCATATGGTCATGATGTATACTTCTTTTAATATGCTTATTGAATTGTGTTTGCTAGAATTCTGTTGAGGATTTTTTTATCTATATTAATAAGAGGTATTATTTGTAGCTTCCTTGTGGTATCTTAGTCTGACATTGATATCAGTGTAATCATGGCCTCATCAAAAGAGATAGGAAGTGCTCCCTTCCTTTCAGTTTTTTTGGAAGGATTTGAAAAGGATTGGTGTTAATTCTTCTTTACATATTTGATAAAATTCACCAGTGAAGCCATCAAGCCTGGACTTTATTTTGGAGGTGAGGGGAGGTTTTTGACTATGGATCAGTCCTTTTACATGTTCTATTGAGAGTTTCATCTTGAGTCAGTTTAGGTCTTTGTGTATTTCTAGGAATTCATGTATTTTATCTAGGTTATCCAGTTTTTGGGCATAGGTTGCTTATAATAATGTCTTAAATCCTTTCTATTTCTGTAAGTTCAGTAGTGAAGTCCCCATTTTCATGTTTAATTTAGTTATTTGTATTTTTTCCCCTTTATCACTCTGGATAAATGTCTTTCAATTTTGTTGATTTTTTTTTTGATAACCAACTTTTGGCTTTGTTGGTTTTCTCATTGTTTTTCTAGTCTCAATTTTATTTATCACTGCTCTTGTTTTATTCCTTCTGTTAGCTTTGTGTTAGGTCTTCTCTTCTTTTTCTGGTTCCACAAGGTGTCTAAATCCATAAAGTGGTTTGAGATCTTTTCTCTTTTTTTTTAATGCAGTATAAATTTACCTCTGGGCACTGGTGTCACTACATCTCATAAGTTTTATGGTATTTTGTATGTTTTCATTTTCCTTATAGATTATCTGCCTAGATGTTTTATCCATTATTGAAAGGGAGGTATTGAATTTTCCAACTATTATTGTAGAGCTATGTATTTCTCTCTATAATACTGTTAATATTTGCTTCATATGTATTGGGTCTCTGTTATAGGGTCCATTTTTGTTTTTGGTTGTTATATCTTCTTGATTAATTGGCCCTTTTACAAATATATAATCCCTTCTGTCTCAAAACTTTTAACAGTTTTTGAAATAGTCTATTTTGTCTGTTATCAGTATAGGTACTCCTAGTCTCTTTTGGTTACTAGTCATATGGATAATCTATTTCAGTCCTCTTATCAATCTATTTATATCTTTGGATCTAAAGTGAATCTCTTGTAAATAGCATATAGTTGAATCATGCTGTTTTATCCATTCTGATAATATCTGTTTTTTGATTGGAAAGTTTAATCTGTTTAGATTTTAAATAATTGCTGACAAGGAAGGACTTACTTCTATTGTTTGGGTATTTAATATTCTGTATATGTTAGAGCTATTGTCCTTCACTTCATCCATTTGTACCCTTTTTTGGGGCAAACCCAGGCCCTAAAAGTGAAAGCGCTGAGGAGTCCTCCTCCCCCGGGGAGCTCCTGTCTCATGCCTTCTTTAACGTGTAGCTCGTCAGCTGTCTTGACTGGTCATTTTGCTGCCAGTGATTCCCAAGTCAGCCTGAGCACTGGAATCACATGAAGAAATTTTTAGACACATGGATTCTGCAACTTCCCTACAAACTGTAGATCAGAGTCTGCAGAGCTGTGTTCCAGGACTGCAGGAATCTAAAGTTGAGACTCTCCCAAGTCATTCTGATAGACTGCTTAACCAAAGTCCTTCTTGGGGACTAGAAAATTTGCAAGTGTACTCACTGGTGTTCTGCATTCACATCTTTCCTTCCATTGCCTATAGAACATTAAAATAAGGATCATTTAGAGAGTCAACACAGTGACTAGTCGAAGTCAAATCACTCTAGCCAATAATATACTTCACTCCCTCCATCCTCTGAAAAATTTATACCAACAATCCAGAAACCTGAAAGAGGGACTAGGGCCAAGCATGTCATATGTAGCTTTTATCCTGTTAATCTTTCTGATTTCAAGGTTCATCTGTGTTACTTTTATCTTAAACTCCTGTAAGTCAATATTGTTGCTTTGAGAAAGTATTGTGTGTTTGTGTTAGTCACTTAATCGTGTCCGACTCTTCGTGACCCCAGGGTCTGTACCCACCAGGCCTATCTGTCCATGGGATTCTCCAGGCAAGAATACTGGAGTGGATTGCCATTTCCTTCTCCAGGGGATCTTCCTGATTCAGGGATTGAACCCAGATCTCCTGCACTGCAGGCAGATTCTTTACCATCTGAGCTCTAGGGAAGTCCACAAGAAAGTATTGGTTGTAATCAAATTTTGTTTTGGTGCATGTGTGTATGTTGATTTGGGGCCCTGAGTTTAACAGATAGCCCCAGGAGTTTGAGAAAAAGTGAAATACGGGCACACATAGTTGTTTTAATAAGAAAGTTTGGTTATTTTACTGTGGCCTTGCATGAATAAGGTCTTTAGTTATATTCTTGCTCTTTGGGAATCAGAAGCTCCATTTCCATAGTTGACTTTCCTAGTCTTCAAATCAAACTGTTTCTCTCTCCTACTAAAATTTCTAGAGATAGCTATCAGTCATTTATTTTGAAAGCAGTTGGCAATGAAGTAAAACAGAAACCTAGAGATTGTCGTCAGTACTTTAAAATGTAAAGTTGTGGTTATTGGGGATTTAAAGTATTAAATCCAGTCTTTTTAAAATGCTATATATATATATTCCCATTTTTGTTGGTCCAACCAAGAAATAGACATAAGTTGTGTTATTCAAAATGGAGTATATATTACTTTTTTTTTTTTTTTTTGGCAATTAGTAGCCACTTTTCTGGGAGAAGGCAATGGCAACCCACTCCAATACTCCTGCCTGGAGAATCCCATGGACGGAGGAGCCTGGTGGGGTACAGTCCATGGGGTGGTGAAGAGTCGGACACGACTGAGCGACTTCAATTTCACTTTTCACTTACGTGCACTGGAGAAGGAAATGGCAACCCACTTCAGTGTTCCTGCCTGGAGACTCCCGTGGACAGAGGAGCCTAGTGGGCTACAGTCCATAGGGTCACAAGTCGTCAGACACAACTGAATTGACTGAGCATACACACACACAGCCTCTTTTCTAGAGCACACTTCTTTAGCAGAGGAGAACTGTGAAAAACTTTTAGAAGGAGGCTTTCATCCTTTTTGTTAGCCACAATATTTATTAAACCAGCTTTGACATACAGGAGGTATTTAGGATTGTGTTTATGGCTAATGGGAGTCATAAGTGGGTGGGAAGATACCTGAACATGGGCACTTTCATACTGCTTGCTTCTATTCACACTCCTTTGGAGATCAGAGTGGAATTAGCTATTTGCAATGTTTTGGTATCTTTTTGTGGTTCTGAAAGACCAGTCAGTGGATTCATGCTTGGCTCACTGCATAAGAATCTACCAGTATAGTTTGATAAAAGTACAGATTCCCAACTTTTCTGTCCCCATCCCACCCCCCGCCCCCCACCACCCTTTGTTTTTGTTCAGTTGCTCTGGGCTAGCGCCTGGAAATTAAAGTTATCCAGCAGACAGGTGTGGGGATTATTGCCCAAGAGGGCTCTGAAGAGGTATCTGAGTCAAGAATGTTATGAATTCCTGGAATTTCAGTATGGAAGCTACCACCAAAGTTCCATGACTTTTCCCTCCAAATTTACAGGTGTGACTGTGTACAAAACAAAATGTGGGTTGCAGTCTTTGGAGTCATTTCTGTTGCCTTGGCAGTGGTGAGCGGCTTTGGCCTGATGTTGTACATTGGGGTGCCATTTGTGCTCATAGTTGCAAATTCACCATTTCTTATCCTAGGTGAGTAAAACAAAGCATGAGGCTGCACACTGTGTATGTGGGGGTGTGGGGTGGGTAAAGGAAGGGTATTGTGTTAGATTAAGCAAAATAATTATAGGTAGGTGACTCTACAGATCCAAAATGAGGAATCAGGAGAAATGGAATTACATGCCTTTAGAGTTGGAAAGATCTGGTACCCCAAATGGTAAAACACAGACCAGGGACATGAACAAGCATTTCACACGCACACACACAGAATCCAAAATACTAATCATTGAAAATGTAAGAAAGAAGTATTTGACCTTTTGATTGATTAATCAAGGGATGCAAGTTAAACCAAAACTGAGATACTTTGTCTTCTTATTAGATTAATGAATATTATAGGAAGATTGAAGGTTTGAGGAAGATTGTATGCAAGTGAACACTCTCATATTCTGCTGAGGGAGATTTGTAAATCGGTGCACTTTTAAGATATAACTTTGCAACAAATCAAAAGACTTAAAAATTTTAAATGGAATACCTTTGAACTGTCAACTCCACTTCTGGGAATTTGTCCTAGTTATTGGACAGGTTTTCACAAAATAAAATAAGCATGTTCATTATAGTGTGATTTAAAATAGGAAAAAACAAAAACAAGCTAATCCTAAATCAACTTGGGATTGGTCTGGTCAGATCACATTAAAGTTTTGGGATCCTATTCAGTCTTTCAAAAGAGGTAGATATAAAGTGTTAAATGGAAAATGATGGTTGTGAAACAAGATGTTTAAAACAGAGAGATATACAAATATGCTTATATATTTGTATAGAGCAAATTCTGGATAGATAATACTTAAAATATTAGCAATGGTTATCCTTGACAGGTAGAATTACAATTGTTTAAAGGTTTTCTTTGTATTTGCCTGTGCTTTCAGGATTTATTTTACAATAAGCATAAGAAGGCAAGTATGTTTCTATTCTGGATGGTAAGCAACTTGGAAGAATTAATAATTGGTTTCCTAGGGGAAATAGGGGAGGAACTGTGCACTGGATATATGCCTTCGTAGCACACACTCACACTTACATACTCACTATTCCCACAGCCATAAACAACTAAAGTGTAGACAACTGATTTCATATCAGTGTCTTCATATTATCTGTATATACATAGACATGTGAGTGTAGGGGCACATGTGCGTGGTGGGGCTGTGATTTCAGTAGCTCAAGAAATGTGTGAGGATGATTTCTGAACCAAGTTCCATAAATAATAAAACCGGTTCTTAAATACCTGTTCCACATCAATGAGTTTATTTGTGGCCCTTAGTACTTCAGAATCTTGCCCTTCATCCAGCTGAATGCAAGCAAAATCCAGAAAGCTGGCTGCAGGGGGCATGTCAGGATGCAGTTTGTGACAGACTACACAAGCCTGTATCACTGCAGGCCTTCTGCCAGACCATACACACAGAACATCTGAATTAGAGGCAAAGTGCACTTCCCAGTACCTTCCCATGTAGTCCATGGAGAAGTTCTTCCAAGGTTGATATTAAAATCAATCAGCACTCGGTTCCAAGTATTGATTTTGTATCAATACACACAGAAACAGGTGTACAGGAGTGAAAGCGGTAGGAAGCTTGAGGGAAGTGAAATTTATCTGCAACGTGCTTAGGCTGTCCTTGATGATCCCCTTTCTTCTCTGTAGTCCTCTTCTCCTAACCTTCAGTGATGACTTCAGAGTCCTCAAATGTTCTCCTGGCCTCTTTATTCCAAATCAATCAGGAAACATCACTGTGGAAGAGACTGGTTACTTTAGTATTCACTTATTATGTAAGGGATTCTTAAGTTTTACTTTGGTACATATTTGTGATTTCAAGGGTACCTGCATGTTACTGACTTAATGCCTTAACCTGGGCAAGTGAAATTTGAATGACAGCGTTCTGGGTGCCAGAACTAGACTAACAGAAAACTACATGTGTTAGTATATCTGTGTGTGTGTGTGTACAAACTATGGGGTGCCTTTAAAATCATACCACATTGATAGCTAGATGCTAACTGGAGAACAGATAAATCCAGCTCGTATTTTAAACAACAGGATGCTAACTCAGTATTAGTGCCTTAGAGTAAAATGCTTTATAAGAGAAAATGGTCTCTCAAATGTTCTGATGGAATCAGAGATGCCTGGCTAATCCTGCTTCACCTAATACCCAGTCAGCCAGGTTTCCTGACTCTTCATTGAAACACCCTAAATGATGACTAGGAGTAGAGTGTACTGTGCTACGTGTACAAAGTGTATAGTTATTACAGAGCAAGGAGTGATGAGTTGTGTTGTGGATTCAGAGGCAACCAGAGAAGGTGTCAGAGAAAGCAGTATCCAAACAGACTCCGCAAGATTAATGAGACCTTGAGAGACAGGCAAAGAAAACGGTTTGAGTTGATCTGGTTAATTTTTAATGGATGTTAAAATGTACAAAGACTCTGTTTCTTTCTCTAACAGGTGTTGGGGTCGATGACATGTTTATCATGATTTCTGCTTGGCAGAAGACCAGCCTCATGGATAACATAAGCGAGCGGATGTCTGATGTCTATTCAAAAGTGGCAGTATCCATTACCATCACCACTGTCACCAATGTCCTGGCCTTCTATACAGGAATTATGACCTCTTTCAGATCCGTTCAATACTTTTGCATCTATACAGGAACAACCCTGCTCTTCTGTTATATTTATAACATCACCTGTTTTGGAGCATTTATGGCCCTGGATGGGAAAAGAGAAGTAGTCTGTCTACGCTGGTTGAAGAAGCCAGAAACACCTGACCAAAAATGTTCCTCATTAAAAAAGTCCTGCTGCCTCCCTTGTAATTCTCTCCAAGATGAATATAAAGCTGACATCCATCCAATGAACCTGTTCTTTAGAGACTATTTTGGTCCTTTTCTCATAAGCACCAAGTCCAAGATTTTTGTAGTGCTCCTATACGTTTTGTACATCATAGCTAGTTTATATGGGTGTTTCCAAGTGCAGGAAGGTTTAGACCTCCGAAATTTGGCAAGTGACGACTCCTACATCACACCATATTTTAATGTAGAAGAAGACCATTTTTCTACTTATGGTCCCAGGGTTATGGTAATAGTTACTGAGGCTCTTGACTACTGGGATAAAGATGCTAGGAAAAAACTGGAAAACTGTCTGGCAGATTTTGAAAACAGTGAGTATGTAGATGAAAACCTTACAGAGTTTTGGTTACAAGAATATGTAAAATATATGGAAAACCTCCGTCAAAATATAAATGGTAAGACGTCGTTTCTAAGCAATATTCCCACTTTTTTAATGGATTTTCCACTTTTTGCATATGATATTAATATAACATCATCACAGGAAATCATTTGTTCCCGGGCCTTCGTTCAAACCATGGGTATTTCTTCTTCAACCGATAAGAAGCTGATGTTACTCCAGTTCCGAAACATGGCTGAGAAGTGTGAAGTTCCCCTAATGGTGTACAACCCGGCATTCATATATTTTGATCAGTATTCTGCAATAGTAGAAAACACTGTTCGAAATGTGGTTGTTGCATCAGCAGCTATGTTCGTTGTTTCCTTATTGTTAATTCCTCATCCTCTGTGTTCTTTGTGGGTAACTTTTGCTATTGCTTCTGTGATTGTGGGTGTCACGGGTTTTATGGCCTTCTGGAATGTCAACCTTGATTCCATATCCATGATTAATCTTGTCATTTGTATAGGGTTTTCTTTTGACTTTTCTGCTCACATTTCCTATGCATTTGTTTCCAGTTCAGAGCCCTCAGTAGACCGAAAAGCCATTGAGGCACTGTATCTGCTAGGCTACCCCGTGTTACAAAGTGCAGTTTCAACAATAATAGGGGTGTGTGTCCTGTCTGCAGCTAACGCATACATCTTCAGGACATTTTTCAAGATTATGTTTCTTGTGATGGTATTTGGAGCTGCTCATGGTCTAATTTTTATCCCAGTATTCTTAACCTTTTTTTGAAAGTTACTTTGAATAGTCACTAACAAATCAAAGACCAATTATAGAATTCCTGATTGGCCCAATCCAGTCTGATTAAATGCACTATTAAGAATAGTCAATAAACTAAAAACAAAGGCATGTTTCCTTGGCTTGTAAATACCGTTTTAAAATGTTACTTAAAATATCCTGAGAAAAATTAATGTCTCGCATTAAAATATTTTTACTAAATTTAGAAGTGTTTTCATCTTTATTACGGTCTATACAATCAAGCATAAGTTTCCAATTATTTGTCCTTTTATTTCCTCATTAGTAGTTTATGCCTGGAATTCAAATATTTTATGTATTATACTCTAAAATTGAATATTATTTTCATTGTACTTCTCATATGCATTATTGTGTAAAAGTGTAACTATTATTTATTCTCCTAGTCTGGGGGTTTTCTATGCATTTTTTTTAATGGTGTATTTTGATGAACAGAAGTTTTTAAAGTTTTGGAATCAAATTTATCTTTTTTTTTTTTTTAATGGTTAGTGTTTTCTGAGAAATCTTTGCCTAAGCCAAGATTACAAAACATCATCTATATTTTCTTCTCAAAGCTAATAGTTTTATATTTACATGTTATATTATATTACATATGAATCATAGACCTATGTTTGTTGGGAAGTATGGGTAGAGGTTCGTTTTCTTCCCATTATAGTTATCCAACTGTCCCGGGATCTTTAGTGAAAAGACTGTCCTTTCACTATAGGGACTAACTTGGCACCTCTGTCAGAGAACCAAGTGACAAATTATGTGTGGCTCTATTATCTGTTTTTCTGTAATAAAGTGGATACCACACTGTATCAATTACTGAAGCTTTATATTAATTATGGAAATTAGGTTAGGTAAGTTATCCAGCATTTTCCCTCTTTTCCAAATTATTTTGGCTGTTATAGGTTCTTTGCATTTAGATACTAATTTTAGAATCACTTGTCCTTATATTAAAAAAAAAAAGGTTTCTGGGGTCATAATTAGGTCATGGTGAGTCTACAGATCAATTTGGGGGAAATAGATATATTAGCAACATGAAATCCTCCAATCTGTGAACATGGTTTGTCTCTTACATCTTATTTCATGTTTTTCAGAAGTATCTTATAGATATACTTGGGTTTACTTTCTAAGCGTGGTAATTTTTTAGCACTGTAAATATTTTGAACCCCTTTTTCACTTTCTTTCATTAGTACATAAAAATACAATTGGTTTCAGTATACCTACCTTATTATGTGTAATCTTTTTAGGTTCACTTATTCATGTAGATTTTTGTAGTTTTTTTAGTAGCTTTTAATCTATGCAATTATGTCAAGATCACATAAAGACCATTTTATTTCTCCCTACTTAAATTTTATCTCTTACTTACTTTATTGCACAGGTTTAAAACGTCCAGGAAAATATAGGAAAGCATAGTGACATCATTGCCTTGCTGTCAGCTTTGTAAGGAATGGAATCCATATTTCATCAAATATAATGATTACCTGGAGGTTTTTCATAGCCATCTTCTGTCAGATTGTGGAAGCCCCTTTCTACTTCTAGTTTTCTGGCATGTTTTAACATGAATGGGTATTAAGTTTTGTCAAATTTCTGTCTGTCAACTGAGATTATCATGTCTATTTTTCTATTTTAGTCTGTGGAATGTGACAACTTACACTGAATGATTTTTTTAAATCAAATCAACTTACATGGAATCATTTTATACTAACCTTGCATTCCTAGAATAATCCACATTTGGTCATGGCATGTTATTATCTTCATATATTGCCATTTTTGTTAATATTTTGTCAGTGATATTTGTTCCTGTGTTCATGAGGCATATTGGTCTACAATTCCCTTTTTTGTAATGCCCTTCTCAGGTCATGGTATCAGGAAAAAAGCCAATAAATATTCTTCCTGTTCTGTTTTCTGAAATATATGATGTATGGTTGACATCATTTTTTCATTTCTTATCAAATGTTTGGTAGAATTCATTAGTGAAGTCTCTTTGGGCGTGGAGTTTTTCTGAGAAAGGCTTTTATTTCAGATAAACTTTCTTTAACAAATGGAAGGCCATTAAAATGTTCTTTTTCTTCCTGGGTCAATTTTGGTATGTTTGTTTTGTATGGAATTTGCCATTTTTCCAACTGGCTATAAATTTCCTTCTAGCTACTATTTTCACTGTATCCACAAAATTTATGAGAGATGTTCATTATCATTCATTCCAAAATAAGCTCCTATTTCCCTGATGATTTCTTCTTTGATCATGAATTAAACAATACCTTTATTTTCTCTTCATTTTTGAAGAGTAGTTTAAACAGATATAGATTTCTAAGTTGAGAAGACTTTTTTTCTTTCACCACTTTAAATATGTCATAGCATTGTCTTCTTGATGCAATGCTGATGAATTCAGTCTTCACTTTCACATTGATCTTCTCTATGGAATATGCCTTTTTCCCCTCTATATTCATTTAATCTTTTTTTTATTACTGGTTTTCAGCAATTTGACTATGATGAGATTATATGTGTTTTTTTTTTCTGTTCAATCTTCTTAGATATCTTTAAGCACTTAGGACCTGTGGCTTGATATTTTCCATCATATTTGGAAATATTTTAGCCTTTATTTCTTCAAATGTTTTTCTGTCACACTGTCTCTCCCCTTTCCTTCAGTGACTTTAATTATAAATATGTTCTCATTATTTTCAGTTGTCATAAAATAGTAATAGTCCCCAAGATTGCATTTTATCATTAATAAATTGAAATTTATTGATACTTCCAAAAAACTCTTCTCTGTAGCCCATATTTTGTTGAAAAAATTTAATTCTTTCTACATATGTTGAGATTCCTGGTAAGCTCAGGAAAATTCTCAGTGAAGGTACATAATTATGCTTTTATGTATGGAAATGTTTAAATATTTTAGTCCAAATATTTTCATCATATCATTTTTATTTCATTAAGACTCATTCTTAGACAAATATTTTATAACACAAAACTCAACAGTATTGTCTCCATTTCTAATTATCTTGAATACTTTGCCAAACAAAACAGAGATGTCACAAAATAATAGGGCTTTTCAATTTCATTCTATTCATTATAGAATGTAAATTTACCCCCCAAATGGAAGCTCATTCAAAAATTCTTCTCACAAGTTATGAAATTACAAACCACAGTTATGAAAGTTCAATCAGGTACACTGCACTCCTCTTATTTGATTTTGTCATTTTGTCCCTCACTTTTGCAGTGACAAATTCAATTACTTCCTGTTTATATACCATGTTTTCAGGAATTCCATTTTGCTAGTCTTCAAAACTTTGTTTCTCTGGTGTTCCCTTCACTGAACATTTTGATTATTCACACTGATTTTGAACAAATTGCCACAAAAAAGAGTAGAGGACTCTATTTAGAAACTAGTCTCAGTTTTACAAACTAGCTCAATAACTTTGCAGGGCAACAGCTTGATTTTCAAAGCAGTTCCACAAAAAATCAAGCATTTGCAAACTCTATCTGATACTGGGCAGCTAAGAGAAACAACTGTGTACTATCATGCCTGAATATTTTTAATAAAATCTCAATTGGCAAATATTTGTTGTTCAGTCACTCTAGGTGTTTTATTAGCTCGTCCCCTCCTTCTTCATGTATTCCTCCAGATGTAATCTTGGGTTATCCATTCGCATTTACAGATGAAGCCTATTTTGCTTAATACAGGTCATTGATAAATTTCCTACAAAACTGTGAATTCTGTCTCCAGCAGCCAAAATTGGTTCCTACTGTCATCCTGGTATACCACCTATTTTAAGTTTGTACTGGATGCCTTGTTTTAAAAGAAGTATTATTATTAAGAGATGAATTAAAATAAGCCTGAATTGGTTTGATATACCTCTGCTTTTTATGTTCAGATTTTTCCATGGTCCAGTCTAGTGATATGGATGACACAAGTGCACTGAATAGAATTTTCATTTTAACATGTAGTTAATTGTGAAAGTCACCCACTGATAAACCACCCCCCTTCCCAATCCTTTATGAACATATGTAACTAACATTTCCTGTTCATTGACAGTGGGCAGAGTGCTCACTGAATACAATGAAGTGTGCTCAGACACAAGTGCTCAGGGAACGTTAGCTCCTCTCTGGATTCTGAATTACTGAAGCTATACTGGCCACTTCAGTAAATAAACCCAACCTTGTAGTGGCTCACCACAGTGAGAGTCTAATTCTCACTTGTGTAACAGTCACTGTTGATGTTCCTGGTCAGTGAGTGGCTATCTTGACCTCTGTAAATCGGGGACCCAGGTTCCTGCCAACTTCTGGTGTCTCAATCCAAATGGCCTCTTCTGTTGCCTGTGTCCAGATGGCAGACGGGACAGAGAACTTCTTAAGGTCTTGGCCTACAGGTGACACACATCACCCCCACGTACATTTTGTAGTGACTACTGGTCACATGGCCACACATGTAAGTCAAAGGTATTAGAAAATGTAGTCCTTGATTGGGCAGCCATATTTCAATTAAATTCCATATTATGAAAAGAGGGCACAATTTTTGTTTGAAGCAAGCTTTCAATATCATTGATTCTTAACCTCTTTACATTACTTTTAAAATAAGTTTCCAGATGGATCAATATTTAAGTGTAAAAAGGTAGATAATTATAATCTCAGGAAGAAAGAGATCTGTCTACTGTGACGTAAAGTCCTGAATTCATTAAGAAGGAAAGAAAAAAAAAGCATTAGTTGATTCAATCACAAACTTAAACTATAGCAACCAGAAGAAAGGTGTTAGGCAAGGGAGTCCTCCTGACTCAACACACAGGAAAAAGTCAAGAAGAAAATTGTAAGTGTCCAAAAAAGGAAACCAGGAAAAGATGTAGGATTGTAGTTCACCCAAAGAGACATATGGTTACTCTAAGCAACAAGTTAAAAGAATTGAGTCAGAATAAGATCCAATGGCATGAATCACTTTAATGGCCTTCTGAGGTAGGCTGTGGCAAAACAGAACACCAAACGCTATTTTTGAGGGTGTA